GCAGCTTCAATAATGCAATTCCTAGACACATAGCTCATCCTTTGAAACAGCTTATGCACATATGGAGTCATGTTGCTTGTGATTTCCTTAGAGTCCTCCCACTTCTCATTGTTTCTCCTCATCATGTACCTCCTCATCTATTCCATTTGGGTGAGGATAAGTTTGTCTCTTGCATATCTAATAACTGAGTTGAAAGTCTCACACATGTTGTTTAGCAACATGTTGGACCTGCAACTGTCACTGAATGCATGTCTACACCAGTGATGAGTGGGGATTTTGTCCAAGTAATCATAAGCCTCCTCATCAAGCTCCCTAATCTGTTGCATTGTTATCTGATACTCAACCTACAAACATAACAAGACCAGTGTTCACTAAATTTGTTCATACCAACCTAAGCTACACAACAGGCACAATGTTCAATAAATTAGTTCATAACCCTCTAAGCTCATTAATTCCAGTGTTCTAGTCAAGCTCTAACACAACAAGACCAGTGTTCACTAAATTTGTTCTTAATAATCTAAGTTCACTGAATCCAATTCAATTTCATGCTTTTATTTGTTCAAAATCATCTAAGCTAAGCTACAGACTTACAAGTGTTGTTGCTCTTGCAGCACTCCAAAAGAGCTCTTTGAAAACTGATCGAGAGAACTTCAGCTTGAAATTTGCCCAAATGTGCCTAACACAGAACCTTGTATCTGCATTTGGCACAACTTCAGATAGAGCTTCAACCAGTCCCTGTTTAACAGCATCAAAACAGAATTATCACACTTCACAGAATAAAGAACAGGACACAATAAAGATTTTAAAAAAATAAGACACTGTTACCTTCTGCCTGTCTGACATGAAGGTGAAGCCTGCCCCATCTGCACTCCCAAGGCATTGCATCAGGGATTCCAGAAACCATACCCAAATCTCCCTGTTTTTAACCTCACATGTTGCCCAAGCAATGGGGAAAATGCTGTTGTTCCCATCTTTGGACATTGCAACTAAAATCTAGCCTGGGTAGGCTCCTTTCAAGTGGCAGCCATCCACCCCAATAATTGGCCTACAACCCTTCAAGAAGCCATCTTTCAAAGGCCTCAAACAAACAAACATCCTCATAAACAAGGGAGCCTCAGGCTGGTCAATGTCATCTACCACCACATTACAACCAGACCCAGGGTTGTACTTCATTACAACCTTCCCATAATTCCAAAATCTTGCATACTGCTCTCTTGCTTAACCAAAAATTATCAACTTAGCTCTACACCTTGCCATCCAAGCCCTGTAGTAAGTCACTTCAACCCCTAGGTCTTGCAGCACCTTACCTTTGATTTGCTTAACCTTCCATGTTGGGTTAGTTCTGAACTCCTCAAGGTACCTCTCTGCAATGAACTCTGCAGTGACCTTCCTGTTCTCCCTGCTTCTCACACATCTATGCTCTAACTTCATGGTTTTTATTTGCCAAGTCTGCTGTTTTTTTAACTTAGTAGCATGGACCTTGAAATTGCACTTCACTCCACCCTTGCATATACACAAAGGCATCCTACTTGTCTTTGTGTCAAACTTACAACCACATCTATTCCTACACTGAATAGTAACCCTACTACTATCATTGTGCAAAAAATAGTATTCATACCTATTCTCTATGGCATGTAGTCTAAGAGCTTTCCTCAAAATAAAAACATTGCTGAACTTAAGCCTATGAACAAGTACAACAGGCTTACTGAAGTCAGATTTCTCATTAAACCAAGGATTTTTGTCCTCTTCATCTGATGAACCATCCAAGCTCCTTAGTTCATCTGATTCTCCCTCAATTTCTTCTTGCACTTGAACCTCATTCACATCCAAGTTCTCTGTCAACCTTGACCTAGGATCCTTGGCAACCCCCTGATCATGTACATCAAACTGCTTCCCAAGACTTCTTGTTACCTTCTCCAAAATCTCTTCAGAATTCTGGACAAACCACCTCTCATCCCCACTGTCATACTTCTCCTCTCCAGGCTCCTAAGTTATGTCAATCTCACTCCCATCACTAGAAGAATACTCATCCTCACTCCCAGCCTCACTACCCTCACTACTATCCTCAAAAACCAATCCTTTAGCTGTAGATTTCTTTTTCCCCTTCCCCTTATCCAACATCTTCCAACTACCAGAAACCCTTTCACTCTGTTCTTTACCTTTCCCCTTATCCAACAACTTCCCTTTACCAGAAACCCCCTCACTCTTAGCAGAAACCCATTCACTCCTTCCTATCCCCTTAATTTTTTCCTGTCTAGATCTAGGTTTAGGAGAATCTTCCCTTTCACTGATATCAGGGTCACTTTTGTTAAATCTTGGGCTCTTCCTAACTGGAAAAGTCTTTCCTGAACTTTTCTTCCCTTTTCTCTCAGCCTCTTCTGGAGTGGACTGGGCCTGGACCTCATGTATGGGCCTTAAAGGTTCATCTGCAGTCACAAATACTTCAACAGACCCTTCCCTATTGGCTGTCTCTAACAGCCCCTTCACTTCCTCTTCATTTACTATTTCCCTTCTCCCTGTGTTAAAGGTCCTTCCTCTTTGTTTATACCACAGTCTGTAGTTTGGAGGGACATGGACATTATAATGCACAAACCCATGCACAGCACCTTCCCTCAAATAATGTACATCTATCTTATCCACTACCACATCCCTCCTCCAATAACATAACCCACCACACCAGCAAAGCAGATGCTTTGATTTTGACACTGTTTTGGGAACAAAAGCACCCCCAACTCTGAATACTAATATCAATTAATCCTTCTTGGTTGTTGGCCATTTATCTACCCAATAAACAAATGCAAAGCAAGTCAATAAAAGCCAACATATCTTACCCATAACACAGTCAAACGCACTACTTTAATCAACAAAAGTAATTTTTAAACCAAAATTTTTTTAAACAATGCAAACCAGTCAACAGTTCACCAAATCAATGAATTAAAGTAAATAATTAACCAATTACACCAATTGATACTTAAATTAATCACATTCTTCTTTAATTAAAAATTCGCACAGTACACAAAGTAAATTAACCCCAATTTTACTGGTTTTAGGGTTCCTACTGTTATTCCCAAATTACCCTACATTCCCAACATAAATGGCATAATGCACATCATCAGCTGAAAACTACTTTAAAAGGTTCAAAAGGTACCTATTTTGGAATCTTACTGCTGTTGCTATCATAATCCACGAAATAATCCAAGCTTTTCTGATGTTGAAAATGGCTGACGAGGTCTCGCTGAGTTGTTTCGTTCCAATACTGACACCTCCCCTTGCAATTCAATTTCTCAACCACACAAATCACTCTAGGGTAAGATTGTGGACAGTAATTTTGGTTGCTTAATTTTAAAAGACAGAATTCAATGAAGGAGAAGTAGTTGGGTAATCAATGGGAGGAGAGATAATCGAATTGAAGAAGATGAAATTTGGAGGGTAAACTAAATTGTGGGCCCCACACACTTTTTCCGTCACAGATTCCCTTATCTGGTGGTGAAACCAAAATTTTAATTTTTTAGCAGGTGTTATAATAAAAACTTGAAATGTTCAAGTGTTATAATCAAAATATGGTCTTTTATCAGGTGTTATTTTCTAATTTTGCCTATCCAAAAACTACCCATATTTTTTAAAAATAGACTAATACTCATAATATTTCTACTCTAAAAATAATTGCTTTATGATGAAATTGATTGTTCTATTATAATTAGAACTGAACTAGCAGTTTTTTTTTTTTTTTTTTGGTGCAAACTAGCCGTATTTCTTAAAATAGACTAATACTCGTAATACTTTTACTCTAAAAATAATTGCTTCATGATAAAATTGATTGTTCTACTATAATTAGAACCGGCAATCGTGTTAGTGTTTGTGTTCGTGTTCGTGTCGGAAACTAAACAGGTTGGGGAACCTCATCACTAACTCGACCCATTTAATGCATGTGTCGTGTCGTGTTGACCTGTTTAATTAAACGTGTTAGAAATCTTTGACATTAACCCACTTTTTTCGTGTCCGGCTCGTGTCATGTTATATGAAAAATTATTAGTCACATGCAATATATTAATCAATAATTCCATAAAGCTAGCATAGAGATTTTTCTTAGACGGATTAAGTCGTGTTAATTTCGTGTTGGAAATCTCTACACTAACCCGACCTATTTAATTAAGCAGGTTAAATTTAATTATACGTGTCGTACCATGTTGACTCATTAATTAAATAGGTTGAAAACCCTTTACACTAACCCGATTTTTTTTTTCCTGTCAGCGTTAATTATAATCATCAAACATTGTAATCGGAAATGTGTTGGATTAATACAACTGTACATTCATGGTGTAAATCTATAATTATCGACAAAAAAAAAAGGAAAGAAAAATAAAATAGAACATTGATGGCATAAAAAGATATAACTAACCTGGGTTTGTGATTGAATTAGTAGGGGACTATCTTTTTTTGGCTACTTTTAGGGGATTAAGTTTTTAACTCAAGGTACTATCTTTTAACTCAATCCAATAAATATTGGCCGGAAATTATGCATGAGGTTCCAAACTGTGAAAAAAAAAAAAGTGAGGTCCCAAAAGGTGAAAAACTTAAAAAGATAGACCTCAATCTTATACTTAACTCCCCTAAAAATATATTTATACCTTTTCCACTTTTGGTAAAAAAAATAAGGAAAATGATAAATATAGCCCTTAGGGCTATCAGGCTATGTATAAGAAGCTAAAAAAGGAAATATTTAGAATAAAGTAACATTAATTACATCGATTGGTGCGTGATTTTGTCATGAATTCCAAACTTAATTTCATTTTTAAAAGCATATTTAATGCTTATATATAGCCCTAAGGGCTCTACATATATCATTACCCAAAAAATAATGACAGTTGTAATTTTGCAATATAGTTACGATTAATATTCATATATAATAAAAATGATGCATGAATCTTGTTATCATTGCATCCTACATTCAAGGAGAACAAACACTTGGTTTTCTTAATGAAGTTGCTATGTATGTCAACATCATAATTAACACCTTTACTTTCCTCATTTTCCTCAAAAATTCAACGTTGTTTTATTATGTCAAAATTAACCATCAAACACTTGTATGTTAATCTCTCTTCCCATAATAATGGCTTTCTTTGTCAATGCTCAAAATTGTTGTCATATCCCACAATACAGCTAGCCCACCCATATTTTTTCTTGCACACTTTTTATAAGGGAAATACTCTATCTCTTCCTCCCCTTTTGTCACGCCGGATAACTGACGTCGATTCGTGTTGTTCGAGTCCATCTACCACCCCTCAAGTCGATCTTGTCCCACCCCACCCCAACTAGACCCCCATTGAGCCGTACACTATATTTTTTATCATACATCATTGATGGGTTACCAAAGTCGCCGCGACTCCCAACCAAATCTACCCTCTCACCAACGCCAAGGATCATCATGCTCCACCCAAGACCTAGAGGTCGACCTTACATGGCCGTTTGGAAAGCTCAATGGGGTCGATAAGGATGACATTCGTGAGACTGCCTATGAGGTGTTTTTCACCTCGTGCAGGTCTTCCCCCGGGTTTGGGGGAAGAACTGCCTTGGCATTCTATTCACATAACAATAACAATAACAATAACAATAACAACAACAACAACGATCATTATTATGGAGATAATAATGGTCATGTTAATAATAATGGTCCTGGGTCTCCAAGTTCACCAGGGTCAACGCGCGGCAATGGGGTGGGGATGGTGACAAATAGTAAGATAAAGAGGGCGTTGGGATTGCGGACTCTTAAGCGAATGCCTTCTAGGAGATCATCCCTAGGCGGAGCCGTTGGTGCCACAGGGTCTAACTCGGGTGCCGGTCCATCTTCACCTCATGCTTATGGACATGTTGTGCATTCACATAGTGCTAGTATCCCCGGGATTTCATTCACCGTGCCTAGTAGAACGTCTCGAAAACCTCTAACATCCGCGGAGATCATGAGGTTACAAATGAGGGTCACTGAGCAAGGTGATAATAGGCTTCGTAAGACGCTTATGAGAACTCTTGTTGGCCAAGTATGTACTATATTATCTATGTTCTTTACTTCTTTACATCGACCCTTATTCACCAACATAATACGTTGCTACCCTATTTTCTTTGTTTTTACAATTATCTCTCGTTTATAAGTAGATTATATTCATCATATCAGTGGCAAAGTCAGAAACTTTTATTAAGTGTGTTTATATGTAAAGATTTAGATCTCGACAATATGTATTGATAAGGAGACGTACATCATGTTTGACCCATAATATACTTTCAAATAATAACATGTTTGTCAATTAATTAAGCTAGTATTTTTGATAATATCCCTAGTATACAAAGGATTATATAGTAAACTAAAGAAAATAATATTACCTCAAAATAAAACTTATGTTAAAAATTTTGGTTGAATTTAATTTGTAACAGATGGGCAGACGAGCAGAGACAATAATCCTTCCACTTGAGCTACTACGCCACTTAAAACCATCAGAATTTCGAGATCATACTGAGTACCATTTTTGGCAAAAAAGACAGTTAAAGATTCTCGAAATAGGGTTAATTCTCCATCCATCGATCCCACTTGAGCAGCGTAACTCTTGTGCTACGAAATTAAGAGAGATCATACGACTCAATGAAGATAAGCCTATTGACACAAGTAAAAATTCGGAGACAATGAAGCAATTATGCAACTGTGTGTTGTCCTTGGCATGGCGTGGGGCGAATGGCAATCCTACTGATGTATGTCATTGGGCAGATGGACACCCACTCAATCTACACCTTTACATTGCATTACTCTATTCGATATTTGACATCAAAGACGAGACTGGTGTTTTAGATGAAGTCGATGAGTTAATGGAGTTGATGAAAAAGACATGGACTACCTTTGGGATTACTAGGCCTGTCCACAATTTATGCTTCACTTGGGTGCTTTTCCAACAATATGTCGTAACAGGGCAGACCGAACCTGATCTTTTATGCGCGACATTGACTATGTTGGTTGAGGTGGCTAATGATGCTAAGAAGCCGGGAGATAGAGAGGAAGCTTATGTGAAAACATTGGCTTCTGTAATGAACTCGATTATTGGATGGTCAGAAAAGAAACTACTTAATTATCATGAGGGAATCTGTAAGAGTAATGCTCATGTAATTATGGAGAATCTACTCCCTTTGGTCTTGCAGGCAAGGAAGATATTGGATGAAGATGTATCCACTACCATTGCTGCTAGGCAAGAACAAGGAGAGGGGAAGGAAACACATGAGTCCTCTGGTAATCGAGTTGATTACTATATTCGTTCCTCAGTACGGAATTCATTCTCAAAGGTAAAGAGATTTTAGATAGTGTATGATTGCTAATGTACAATATTAGTTTAGTAAAATTAATTTCATTTCAGTAAATTAATTTCAGTTCAGCAAAAATAAGGTTAAGTGAACAGAGTCTTACAGTCCTAACTTTTGTTACAAATAAACTTTTATGCTAGATAGCTTAACATACATACTATAACATGCTTCAGATAGCAGAAGGCATGAATATAGCCAGTATGCAATTAGAGGGAGAAAAGGAAGTTAGCGAAGCACTCGTATCTTTGGCACAAAAGACAGAGGAATTGGCTGCAAAGGAGAAGGAAACTTACAGCAGCACTCTAAAAAGGTGGCACCCAGTGTCTGCAGCAATAGCATCAGTGACATTACAAAATTGTTACGGCGCTATATTGCAACAATATCTAGCTGGGGTATCGATGCTCACAATAGAGGCAATAAATGTGCTTCATAAAGCTGGAAGACTTGAGAAAGTTTTAGTGCAAATGGTGGTTGAAGACACTGTTGATTGTAAAGATGGAGGGAAGTCCATTGTTAGAGAGATGGTCCCTTATGAAGTCGACTCTGTCATTATAAGGCTTTTGCGAAAGTGGATCGAGGAGAGACGACGTAAAGGGAGAGATATTCTTCAAAGAGCCAAGGAAACTGAAGTAAGTTCAAGTACAAATTCAAAGATATATACAAGTAGTTTTTTCGGCCAAAATTATACCCTTTAGTTCATATTCAAAAATTAGTAAACTCAATTCCTTAACAAAAACAAAAAAAAAAAAAAAAAAAAAAAATAGATTTAATCTCAAACCTTATGTAATACGAAGTATAGATTAGTGTTACTAAATCAATTTTTTTTTTTTTTTTTCTTAGACATGGAATCCAAAGTCTAAAGCAGAGCCATTTGCACAATCAGCTATTGAGCTTATGAAAATAGCTAAAGAAACTATTGACGATTTCTTTGAGATTCCAGTTGGTCTTTCTGATGATCTAGTCCAAGATCTTGCCGAAGGTCTCGAACGTGTAATCCGAGATTATACAAGCTTTGTTGCTAGTTGTGGTAAGAGCCTTTTGTTAATTAGTTCATTCAACAAACATGAAATTCATTCTTTGTTGTAATAACATTTTGTCAACACTTGACATGTTTTTGTTTTTTTTTGTTTTGTTTTGTTATGACAATATCAATAAAGGAACAAAACAAAGTTATATCCCAACACTCCCTCCTCTAACTAGATGCAATCGAGATTCAAAATTTGTCAAACTTTGGAAAAGAGCAGGTTGTAGTGTTGGTATGCAAGATCTCCACCATTACATGGCTGCCATCGAAGGTCATCATGCACGCCCATCGACTAGTCGTGGCACCCAACGCCTCTACATCCGCCTCAACACCTTACATTACCTTTTATCTCACCTCAACTCTCTTGACAAGACACTTGCCCTCTCCCCGCGAGTCAACCCTAATACACAAAAGCGTTACCCTAATAGTCAGAGAAACTTGGGAAACTCTGCTACATACTTTGATCTTGCTCGCACCTCAATGCAAGGCGCTATACAACATGTTGCTGAGATTTCAGCCTACAGACTAATCTTCTTAGACTCAAACTCCATTTTCTATGAGAGCCTTTATGTTTTTAGTGTGTCTAATTCAAGGATTAGGCCTGCTTTGAGGATCCTTAAGCAGAACCTAACTTTATTAGGCGCGATTTTGATTGATCATGCTCAACCACTAGCAGTAAAAGAGGTGATGAAGGCATCATTTGAAGCATACTTAATGGTGTTGCTTGCAGGAGGGTGTACTAGAACATTTTGTAGGTCGGACTATGAGATGATTGGAGAGGATTTCGAGAGCTTGAAAAGGGTGTTTTGCACTAGTGGTGTAGGACTAATAGCCGAGAATGAAGTGGACAAAGAAGCCGAGGGGGTGCAAGGAGTGGTTGATCTTATGGGACAGTCCACAGAGCAACTAGTGGAAGATTTCAGCACCGTGGCTTGTGAGAGGAGCGGTATGGGAATGAACGCGACAGGAAAGAAACTACCAATGCCACCAACAACAGGAAGGTGGAATAGATCAGATCCCAATACAATACTGAGAGTATTATGTCATAGAAATGATAGATCAGCAAATCATTTTTTGAAAATAACATTCCAGTTGCCTAAGAGGAGATGATAACAACAACAATAATGTTTGTAGGCTTGATGATGAGATGGAGAGTTTGTAAAGTCGGGTGGTGTTTACGTGAACATTGATAGAATAAAGATTGTTGTTCTTTTAAACAATTTTGCTGAAATAAAAAGATATAGTTTCATTTTGCACCAGATTATTGTGAAGGAAATTCAATTGTACAAAAGTTTATATCAATTATTGTATATCAAATTTCAGAGCATTAACCCTCCTATAGATAATTTTATATTTTTCGCGATTCTCTTATATCAAGGGTGAGAAGCTCAATCTTATTATCGAACATTAAGCATATTCAATAATCTTAAGCAATAAGTTAGGATTGATAAAACCTTGAAAACATATGCAATGATTCACATCTTCGTTCAATCTTTATTTCCTTGCTAATATGTTGAATTATCTCTATATATAATAGTATGGATGATCGATATGAAAAAATAATTGACTTGTTTCTATTTCCCTTTTCCTTGCAATTATATATCAACTATATTTCATTAATTGAACTATGCATTATACTCAACAATATATCAAAAAAGTTTGACCACTATATATACTCATTTAATGTAGAGTATCATAATTATTTAAGGGTACTTGTAGTAAATATAATACGATCCTAACACCAAACAAATGCCTTCATTTACAATTTTAAGCTAATTATTGAAGTACTGTATTAATCTTTAAGCACTTCCATGGAATTGGAAATTTCAGCCTTGTAAACATAGCATCTGGCTATAACCAAGAAAAGGAAGAAATTCACCACATTAAGTATCACGAATAATTCATAGTAATAATCAAGATGAGAGGCATTTAGGTTGTTCAAAATCCATCCTTGGTGTCCATGTTGTGCTGTGAGGCGCGAAACTGTTGATAAAAGAAAGCTGCTTAGATAATTTCCTATACCAAGAGTTGTAGTTGAATATGCAGTTCCAAGGCTCTTCATTCCCTCAGGAGCTTGATCATAGAAGAACTCAAGCTTGGCCACCTCAAGGATTGCATCGGCGACCCCCATGAGCATGAATTGAGGAAGCAAAATAAAAATTGACAATGGAAGTTGAGCACCACTCTCGACTAACCCATGTTCCCTTGCAACACTTAGTCTCTTCCTCTCTTCCAAAGATGATATTGTCATGATTATTATGTGAACGATTAATCCTAGTCCCATTCTTTGAAGCAATGAGATCCCTCTTGGATTTTGGGTAATTTTTCTCATCAATTTCACAAAGATTTTTTCATAAAAGACAATAAAGATGAGCATTGAGATCGTCATAAACCCAGTTAGGCTTGCAGGGGGGGTGTGAAACTTGCCTATGCTCCTATCGAGGGTAGTCCCTTGCTTGATGAAAAGGGTGTGTACTTGAGCTACCATAGTACTTGGGACTAAGGTAATGATCAAGATTGGAATCATTCTTAGCATTTGCTTCGTCTCCTCCACTTGTGTGACCGTGCATAGCTTCCAAGGATCTTTTGAACCAGTGAACACCGCGGCTTTGTTAAGGAACCTACACAAAGTTAAGTATGTATTAGAAGAAAGATGACTTTAAATGGTGATTTTGCAACTATGAATAAAACCATGTTAATACACACACATATATAAAAGTTTTATTCATCATATTTCCTATAATGTGGGCTGTTACATACATGTATTCCTTATGTCAACTAAGGTTACATGTCATAGCTATGCAAACAAGATAATTTAAGGCGAGTTTAGATTGTTCACTAACCTCAAGGAAGAAGTTAACTCGATCTTGAACTTCCCATGCTTTGCATACTCATCCAAGTCAAGTTCATACAATTGCTTAGTAAAAGGCGCTCTTCGATTTCTAATGGCAGCCACAATAACCTTTGCCATCCTTGTAACAGGACTACCAGTAGGTAACTTATGCCTATAAAATGGAGTTCCAGCTAAAAAGATTGAGAATGATATTGCAAGCCCAATAGAAGGTAGTCCATATCCCAAAGCCCAACCCACATTATCTTGGATGTAGACTAGGATTGTGTTGGCAAACAAGGTTCCAAAGAAAATGCTAAACATCCACCAATTGAAGAATGATATTTTATGGGCTTTCTCCTTGGGCTCAAAATCGTCGAATTGGTCCGCCCCGATGGTGGAGATGTTAGGCTTTGTACCACCAGTCCCGACCGCTAGAGTGTAGAGTGCACCGTAGAACACACCTAGTTGGAGTGGCGACACCTTCTTACAGTCGGACATTTGGGCTTCGTTGCATGGGGGTGGTTTTAGTCCAGGGAGTGAGACCGCTAGTGTTAGGACCGACATACCCTAAACAAAGGAGAAAAACAACGAGTAATATTATATATGTTAGTCACGTAACAACTGAGCATTAAAATCTAGTTATTGAAAATGGTTAGATTACTTTACCGAGAGATAGATGGCACCAGAAATAAAGAAAGTCCAATAACGTCCAAGGTGAGCATCGGCGACATAAGCACCTAAAATGGGAGTCATCCAAATGGTACCAACCCAGTTGGTAACATTGTTGGCTGATTGCACAGTTCCTTGATGGAGTTTTCTAGTCATGTACAACACCAAATTTGATGATATACCATAGAATGCCATTCTTTCAAACACCTCGTACGCTGCCAAATCACCATTAACCAAAGTCAAAAGTCAACAATTGTTAGCGATTTCTTCTACCTAGCTACTCAATCATTATTACTTATGTTAGAGATGGCAATGGATCTTGGATCCAGATCTGTTTTACAGGATCTGGATCTCCCAATTTTTGGACCCGATGGATCTGGATTCGGATCCGGATCCATTTTGATGGACCAAATCTGGATCTGGATCCTATTTTTGAGATCCAGATCCGGTTCGGATCCGACCCGTGGATTCTTTTTTAATTTTTTATATATTTATTATGGTATTATTTAAGATTTATATACTAATTAAGTTGACTAGTTTTATATAAATATAAACCTATAATTTTCTCTATTATTACATACTTTGTTTGTTATTATTTTATGAACTAAACTTTAATCAATTTTCAGAACAATGATTTAATTTTCCGTCAAATTAACAAAAAATAATGGTTGAATCATGTAGATGTAGTATATAAATTGAACTTATAAATATATATTTTATCTCCTTTTGCACAAACAAAACTTTTAAAGTAATAAATTTTTAAAACAAAAAAAATACGTATGGATCTGGATCTAGATCCGATGGATCTGAATTTGGATCCTAAAATTTTGGATCCGCGGATCCGGATCTGGATCTCACTACTAGAAATAGGCCGATTTCCGACGGACATGTTCCCACAGACACGTTTTTTCGTCGGAAAAATCGAAATTTCCGAGGGATTTTTGTTCAGTCAGAAATTTCCAATGAAATCAAAGAATCCACTGGAAATTTCCAACAGAATATATATCCGTCGGAAATTTCCGATAGAATATAAATCTATCGGAGATTTAAATTTTTCCGTCGGAGATTTAAATTTCCGACGGAAAAAAATTCCGTCGAAAAACTCCGACGGATTTTCCATCGGAAATTAATAAAAGAAAAAAAAACAAAACCCTACCCTCTTACCTAAACCGACAACCCCCTTCCCCTTATTTCATTTTCTCTATCTCTCTCCTTCTCCTACTTCTTTCTCTTTCTCTCTCCTCTTCTCCGCCTTTTCTCTCTCTTCTCCACCCTGTTTCTATCTCTTCTCCACCCTATTTCTCCTTCTTCTTTCCCTTTCTCGGTCTTTTTCTCTTCTCCTCCATTCTCTTTCCCCTTTCTCTCTCCTCTCGATCTTCTTCTCTGCTCCTCCCTCCTCTTTCTCCTCTTCTCTTTTTCCCTTTACCTTATATCTCTCACCACCACCGCCAACACTAACCATCGTCGCAACAACAACGCCACCAACACCGACATCAACAACACCAATTTCCGCCTTTTTTCGCCCTTTCTCTCTCCTCATGATGAAAACAAAGGTTTTCAGGTCAAATTCGACTATGAAAACTCTAGATTTAGAGCTTTTATGGTCAAATTTGGCCTCGTAAACCCAATTTCAAGGTTTTGTGTGGTCGAATTAAGGTACGTGTCTCTTATTTTATTTTTTTGTTGTTTTATTAGAATTTTTTGAATATACGTAGTTTATGGTTGTGGTGGCTGTTGGAGATCGGGTTTTTGGGGGTTGGGTCGGGACTGATGATTTTTTTCCTTTATTTTTATTTGTTAATTTTTGGGTTGTGACTGTTTGTTTCGGCGGCGGTGATGGTTTTAGGTGGGTGTTGGGGTGGTTTGCTGTGGTTCGGCTAAATTTGTTAAGGTTAGGGTTGTACATCTGGGTTCGTTTGGGTGGTAGATCTGGATTTGGATGGGTTAGGGTTAGGTGGGTAGGGGTTCTGGTGGAGGTTTTGGTGGTTGGGTAGTGGGTGGTGTGGGCTGGTAGTACGGGTTAGGGGGGCTGGTGTGGGCTGGTAGCTGGGGTGTGGGCTGGTGGTGGGGGGTGGTGGAAGGCGTTCTTTTTTCTTTTTTTTTTAAAGCATTTTCTGACGGAATTTCCATCGAAAATTTCCGGCGGAATACGATCCGTCGGAATTTTTCCGACTGACTTTTCCGGGCCGGGAAAATCTCCGCCGATAGACTGAATTCCGTCGGGAAAGTGTTTTCGACGGAAATTCCGTCGGAAAAGGCTGTTTTTCCTACAAAATGTTTTCCGACAACAGGGTGTTTCCGACGGAATTTTTCCGTCGATATTTGCCTGTTTTCTAGTAGTGTCTGGATCCGGATCCAATAGGGTCCGATCCGTTGCCATCTCTAATTACGTTACTATATTATCTCAATCGAATTCTCTCTTAAACTAAGAGGTGTACGATGTAATGGATTTAGGACTGAATGACAAAATCACGCTTTGATCAATACCATTTGTCTTTAATTTAACTTAATATTTTCACATTTAACTTCTTATAAGCAACCTTAATTGAGGGAGGCCTCTTGATGTAGTGGCACAAGAGGTCGTCTCGCATCCTTAAGGTGCGAGGTTCGATCCTCATCAGCAACAAATCCCACCACCTACTCCTAGATTTCCTGTGAATAGGAGCCTTCAGCTGGGGTTCAATTTACGTTACCGTGTAAAATAAAAAAATAAAAGCAACCTTAATTAAGAATCGTAATATCATTTTTCTTATGTTACGTACTTGTCAGTCAAAATAGACCCTATCACATCCACCACTATATAACTTGCCAATTGGTCAATGGTTACAAGTAATTAAGTGCTTCTACGTTCTAACTACATTCCAAAGTTATTGTGGTAGTGGAGTGTGGACCAACTTAATTTGAGCTTGACTTATTGCAGCTTGTTAAAAGCACAAGAAGATAAAGCATAAGGTCCATAAAAAAACAAGTTGGTGGACGGTGTGGAAGATTATATAAACTTGATCAACAAGTTTTGGAGAACTTAAATGGCATCAATCAGACAAGAATAATTACATAAATATATAATCGTTTTTAACGTAAAACACCTTAGATTCTCTTATATATTCAACTAGAACACATTTGATCGTATATATGGTATATTTAGAATCATAGTATTCTAGATTATTATGCACTCAATAGAATAATATCTTCATATAATTTAAATTCCGATTACATTAATTGAGGACGACTTTAAGAAGGTGACTATTTAACATCACCCATTATGCTTTAGTGAGGTGATATTTTGACCTACGAGAATAACCCTTTTTTTTCTTTCTTTTTTTTTTTTTTTATAACATAGAACAACATATATTATGTATCATCATATAAAATTTTATACAAGTAATACCGTTAATATTGGGCTACCGACCATGCCATAATTCTTCACAAGAATATTGTCACCATTGTGTAAATGTGTAGGGACTGAATTAGCAGAGACTGACCTACATGTAACATGGCTACATACATGCATGTTAAGTTGAAGTAGTCAACCATCATTAAGCTCTCAAGTCGCACATACACATACAATATGGCACGTAAATGTTGAGCTTGAATGATAGCAAGAACTTAATCAATGGACTAAAGCTAGCTACTTAATATTCAGGCCATCCATCAATATATAGCACAGGAAAATTTATTGGTTTTAACCACAAGAAGTTGCATACTTTGTATCTGTCTATATATATATATATATATATATTTTTTTTACAAGTCTATAAAATTATTGGCTGAAAAGATAAAGAGAGAAAAAAATCTGATAATAGAGAGGTCGATCGTTTGATGAATTAAACCATAAATTTAACCCGTTACACCATGTTAGCAACTATTATATCAAATTATATGCTTCATATGAGCTATTTGAGTTAATAGAATATCATAATAACTAAATTATATTAAGACTCGAAGTTAAATAACTAAAATAACTAAAGATATCATTAATCGTTTGATTAGGGTGACTTTTGAACCAAATAATTTTTAGCTATTTCTCTCATATAATACATAGATTCAATGAAATATTTTTTATTTAGATAGTACGAATTGTCTAGACTACAGTTTGCTATCAATACCCAAAAAATATGAAATACACCAATTTTTTTAATTATGTTCCAAGGTTCAAGACAAAACCATGAGAATTAGATAAATAAAGACTACAAAATTATATACTTCGTTACTTCGTACTGTATTTACCAAGAAATAATCCTACACATTTCAAGATTTATTTATTGTTAAAAAAAATTAACAAACAATAAAGATAAAACTACGTACCAACAACAAAAAAACAAGCTATCCAACCCCCACGTTTGGATCTACGAACAGGGTTTCCTCTAAGATCAACTGTTCCATCCTTTGTGTAATCATCACCACCGGCTTCTTCCACCGCCATCGCTGCCGCCATTATTGACACTATTAAGTAGTGGCTAAACTAGCTTAATAGAGCTTATATAAGCTTTTTGTGTAGATGTATAATGTTAGTAATTTCGTGTAAATTTTTTTCTAGGAAGCTCGCTCATTCCATGGTTGCAGGAGTTTATCTCTTGCTATTTGTACTGTTTTTGGCTCTTTGCAGCATTTTAATGTACTACGTATGTCTGCCTAAAATACGAGTATATCCACACTGTATATGGAATTAACATCCCTGACCCACCTTTTTATAGGCCAACACACTTGCAAAACGTTAAGTCGTTAACTGAGGTTAAGGTAATGAAGTAGTTGTATTGCTCCTACCTCGTATCCTTGAGGTTTAGGGATCAAACCTCATGAGACTCATTTGAGGGATTTTTCTTATCTCCCCCCTCAAATAAGCCCCCTTCTTCTTAAAAAATAAATAAATAAATAATTGCAAAACATTAACTTTACATACATGACTATCTCTGGAAAATATACTCCCTAGTCATATAACGTAGAAGGAGTATAAAGAGAATTCCCTTGTAAGAGGGGGCAAATTAGAGATCTCACTTGCTTAATTGGAGTGAAAATTGAACCCCTCTCACAAACGTGAAAGGAAAAAGGAGGTCCTCCAACTAGTAGGTCGACCTTGATTCTCAACGTATACTTTATCATGGTCAAAACTATTTTTAACTAAAACGGAGCAAGTATTTGTATAAGATACTATATTATCAAATGATAGACCTGGAAATCCTAATCCGACCCGTGACTCAAAAATGACCCGAATCCGAACTAACCTGAACCCGACCCGAAATTAACCCGAAACCCGAACTTGACCTGACCCGAAGTGGCCCGAAACCCAAAGTGACCCAACCCGATTAAACCTAAATAGATTGACCCGAATCAACCCGACACGAAGTGACTCGACCCAAATTGACCCGAGCCGAAGTGACCCGATTCCTGAAGTGAATAGGGTGAAATGGTGAATTACTTATTTAGAGCTTCTTTCTTTCCTAAGTAATAGGTACTCACGATTTTTTTTATTTTCTTAACGATTTTACTTTATTTTTCCAACTATTATTTAAAGTGAATTTATTTTGGTGACCCGACCCAAACTTGACCCGATCCGAACTGACCCGACCCGAATTTGACTCGACCCGAAATGACCCGAAATTGGTCCTAAAAACTGACCTGACCCAAACTGACTCGACCCTAACTCACCCGACCTGACTCGAAGTGATAACCAGAATTTGACCCAAAACCGAATTGACCCGACCTGAATATTTGCTGACCCGAAATTGACCCGACTAGAACGACCCATTCGGCAGGTCTATCAAGGACGTGTTAAGACTTGGTACAATAATGTGTATTAAATATAATATATTTGGCTTGTATATCAACTACATAATTAAAGACTGTTGATTAATTTCATATTTTCCTTACTTCTAAAGCTTTCCGAACTTCCGAAAACTACAAATTACTGTGTAATGTGTATTAGATATTTCACGTGTATTTGGCTTAGGGAATCAGTTAGGCTTAAATCAAATTGCCCAAAGCATGCTTTTCTTCTTTTAGTCAACAATTCAGTTCACAAGGACACAAACACAATGTCGAGTGGAGTTGGGTACAAAACCAAGTAAAATATCATCGATGTCAACAACTAGCTTAGTTTGTTTAATTCTTAGCACGTATTAAAAATATGAAATCAAATCTCGTCCACTTGTACATCAGTTATTTTTTATGACGTAATAAAAATATTCTATGATGTCAATTTCAATTTATGTGGAGGCAATTTACATTTCCAAATCCGGTGTTTCAATAATTTTCATGAAATAAACCGTCATTGATGCAATTCATCTCTAAGCACTTCCATTGAATCGGAAATTTCAGCCCTATAAACATAAGACCTAGCTATGAGCAAGAAAATGATGAAATTTACCACATTAAGTATCACAAAGAACCCATAGTAATAATCAAGATGAGAGGCATTAAGGTTGTTCAAAATCCAGCCTTGGTGTCCATGCTTGGCTGTAAAGCGCGCAACAGTAGATAAGAGGAAACTACTAATATAATTTCCAATACCTATAGTTGTAGTTGAATAAGATGTACCAAGACTCTTCATTCCCTCAGGAGCTTGATCATAGAAGAACTCGAGTTTTGCCACTTCTAGGACTGCATCAGCAACCCCTAAGAGAACGAATTGAGGGAGTAAAATAAAAATTGTTAAAGGAAGTTGTGCACCACTTTCAACCATACCATGTTCCCTTGCAAAACTAAGTCTTCTCCTCTCTACTAATGATGAAATTATCATGATGATTGTGTGAAGGACTAGGCCAAGTCCCATTCTTTGAAGCAATGTAATCCCTCTTGGATTTTTGGTTAGTTTTCTCATGAATTTTACGAAGAATTTGTCATACAGAACGACACAAACGAGCATTGAGAATGTTGTAAAGCCGGTTAGGCATGCTGGTGGGATGTGGAACTTGCCTATTCTCCTATCCAATGTAGTACCTTGCTTGACGAAAAGGGTTTGTCCTTGAGCTAACATCGTGCTTGGGATGAAGGTAGTAATCAAGATTGGAAGCATTCTTATCATTTGCTTCGTTTCTTCCACTTGTGTAACCGTGCATAGCTTCCAAGGATCCTTTGAACCAGTGACTACCGCGGCTTTGTCTAGGAACCTACAAAAAGCCATGTATTATAGATAATAGATGATTCTATTATCATAGTGTCTTAGAACAAAATCTTTACGCAAAATATGTATAGTTATGCATAGTAAAATTTTGCAATCATAGCCAATATCTTATCTACATAATAGTCCATCACACAAATATGGTACGTCGAATATAATTGTCATAATATATAACACCTTAATGCTACAAAAACAGTACTTTATACTGACATGCTTACTAAAAATTGAGATTGAGTTTCAAGTCATTATTTATATCACTAACCTTAAAGATGAAGTCGATCCCACTCTGTACATCCCATTTTTGGTGTATTCATCCAAGTCAAGCTCGTACAACTGCTTAAGATCACTAGGGAACGACGTGTTCCGGTTCCTAATGGCAGCCACAATAACCTTAGCCATCTTTGTGAAGGGACTTCCAGTAGGCAATCTATGCCTATAAAAGGGACTTCCAGATAAAAATATTAAAATGGATATGGCAAGCCCAATAGTCGGTAGCGCGTATCCGAGAGTCCAGCCCACATTGTCTTGGATATAGACTAGGATTGTGTTAGCAAACAAGGTTCCAAAGAAAATACTAAACTCCCACCAATTGAAGAATGAGAGTTTTTGGGCCTTCTCTTTGGGCTCAAAATCATCAAATTGGTCTGCCCCAATTGTTGAGATATTGGGCTTGGTCCCACCTGTCCCAACTGCTAGGATGTAGAGTGCACCATAAAAAACAGCTAGTTGAAGTGGTGAGGCCTTCTTACAATTGGACATTTGGGCCTCATTGCAAGGGGGTGGTTTCAGCCCAGGAAGTGATACTGCTAATGTTAGAAGTGCCATTCCCTATACCAAAAAAAAAAAAAAAAAAAAAAAATGATATAATACAAAATTTATGTTATGATCTTTTCAACTGAAATGAGATAAATTGATTTCGAATATTTTGAATGCTTTAGTTTGATATGTGTAGACGGTCTAATATGATAATTTGATTGAACTTTGACTGTATTTGTGTGGTTATATTATAAATAAAGATGTTATCAAGTGCGTTAAGAGATTAGAGAGTTATATTACCGAGAGATAAATGGCACAAGAAATGAGGAAAGTTCGATAACGTCCAAGGTAGGCATCAGCGATATAAGCACCGATAATAGGAGTCATCCAAATAGTGCCTACCCAATTGGTGACATGGTTGGCTGACTCCACTGTTCCTTGGTGAAGAATTCTTGTCATGTACAACACCAAATTTGATGATATTCCATAATATGCCATTCTTTCAAACACCTCATACACTGCATACAGTGCATAGTCACCCATAAATTATCAAATGTATGTAATTTTTCTATAGAAATCTTCATAGAAACATCTATTAAAAATTTTCAAACATACAATTTCCTAGCAGGATTCGAACCCGTGGTCTTACAACTTGACTTTCAAAGTATCAATCACAACAAGATGCGTAGTAAAAGCTAAGGATGTCAATTGTTATGCTAGTTGTATACATTGTATGTATGTCATTAATTTCATTAGCTTTGGTAATTATCTTTAGTTTTAGTAATTTGTTAATTCTATCCTTTATTCCTATCCTTTAGGTAAAGATATCAATCAATATATAGCTGTAGTCGTTGCTTTAGTCATAAACTCGTAAATAAATAAATGAACTTGTGACATCAAATGACCAAATGAGGCAACGGTGTTGTTAAAAATATAAATAATGAAAAACAAAAACCCAAAAACCAAAAATAGTAAATCATTCACTTTTTTTGTTGTTATTTATCAAAAACCTTATTTTCATTCATTTCAAGTTTAATAAGTTCAGATGAGTTCAATTCACATAGATGAAAATCACGTTAATAAAACACTCTTACAGTAATACCGAATAAGCTTTTAATTGCGTATTAGTGTATACTCTGTATAATTCAATTCCATAAATGGTATGAACGAAATACATTCGATTTTATTATTTCTTTTATGCTATATTGCTATGCATGACAACAAACACTCATGAGAAAGCGAGAAATTTTCAAAAGAACTAATCTCTCCATTTCATATTGATTGTATTAATTTGACTAATTATGTCTCACAAAAAAATTTCAAGTAGGAAGAACAATATGAAACGAAGAAAGTAAATAGATGAGTCAGCTATAAGAACAAGATAAGAGAGAGGAATACAAAAACATACCAACAAAAAAGTAGCAAGCTCTCCAACCACCACGCTTGGATCTACGAACAGGGTTGCCTTTGAGATCAACAGTTCCATCTTTTGTGTAATCATCAAATTCTGCTTCTTCAATAGCCATTGATAAAAGATGACTTTTAATTAATTGAATGATTGACTGTCTAATTGATAATTGCCTTTGGATACTTAGTTTTGTTTTCTTAAAGATACGAGATTGCGAGTATCTTGGGATTCCTATCTTTTAATGTTTTTGAACGGAAGTAGCTCCTTGGTTGTTAGAGGTTATATAGTATATTATCATTGTTAGGATTTTTGTTTTTATACTCTCAATGTGTTTACATGTATTTATATTTATCAATTACTATGCCACAGTGTCACCTCCCCTGAGGCACCTACCCTCGTTTTATAAGCCTATGACACATTTAGTATAAGAACAAGAAATAAAGATAAGCAAATGGAATAAAATAAGAATAAGATATAATAATATTGTTGTGAAATTAAACTAATTGACATAAACTATGGTTCGAATGGTCTTTAATGACGTAGATCATGGCTTTGAGCACCTTCATTTCTATTTATGTCACTTATTGTTTTGGAGTTCATGGTATGGTCAAAATGGTTTAGTAGTTTATGTATGTTTGTTTCCTCAATTTTAGGATGTTTGTTATTATCATAATAGCTCTGTATATATAATTAATAAAATGTACTCGTCAAAAAAAAAATTAATAATAAAATGTAGTCTTTTATCTTTTTGCTCTCAAAGCTCTACTAGCTCCTCAATTATGGCTGCTCATCTTCTTCTCTACTTGCTTTCTACTTCTTCCTTCCTCCCTAAACTCTCAAGTCTCAACTTCAACATGGATTAACAAAATATATCTTTCTTTTTTATATTTATTTTTTTATTTATGAATGACCCATGAATATAAAACTTAGTATGAATGAACATATTCATTTCGAAATTATTAGGTAAATGATACGAAAAATACTTAATTTACAAGTATATACTAGGTTATTAGCAAACTAGCTTTAAATATGTCTTGTATATATATGCTTATAACTTATTTGAATGTGAATTATATGCTCGTTTCATCACAAGTCACGACCTATAAAGTACATCACATTTTATTATAAACGAACAAGTGATTTAAGTTTACACTACTCGATCTTTCTATATGATGAATACATCATGTTAAAATGTTAACCTTAGCATTACAGATAGGATTGTCGCTTGTAAACAGTCGCAACACGAGTGTACAAAACTACAAACCAAACATCGGTCAAACATAGCTTTCGTAGTAATTTTGTTAACTATTCCTTGACATTTAAAAAGCAAGAGTAGCAAAATTTATTACATACAACCACGCTAGTACACTACATATTTAATCGTTATCATCATTCATCTTCCCCGCAAATTCGTATACCTCATCCAATCACTTACTTGGCACAACAATGTCGTCGTCAGCATATACCTTATCAGTAGTAGAGAACCTTCAAGAAGCCAAGAAAAAATCTGGAAAATCTTTCAACCAAATTGCTTCTGAAACTGGTCTTACCAACGTTTATGTAGCCCAGCTTCTTCGACGCCAAGCCCAATTGAAGCCCGATACTGCCCCTAAACTCCGGGCTGCGTTACCCGGATTGACTGATGATCATATTGAGCATATGATGAGACCTCCTTTTAGATCCTATGATCCTGATTTGACCCAAGAACCCGCCATTTATAGGTCTTTTTCTCTCTCCTATTGTTATCAAATTTTGAAATTTGGTTTTGATTTTTCTGGGTTTTTAGTTTTATCATCTGGGTTATGTTTTAATTTGTTGATTATAAAGTGATTATGTTGGTGGTTATTGAAATTTGGGTTTGGTTTTTCTGGGTTATTAGTATTATCATCTGGGTTATGGTTTAATTTGTTGATTATTAAGTGATTAGGTATTTGATATTGAAAAGTGGGTTTGGGTTTTCTGGGTTATTAGTATTATCATCTGGGTTATGGTTTAATTTGTTGATTATGAAGTGATAATGTATGTTGTGGATTATTGATTAATTAATTGACCTATGTAATCTAATTGCATTAAATTATTTGATTTTCTAATTAATTTTTCTGGGTTATTGTGTTGATTGTTTGCTATACTACCAGTCTACCACTACTGAGATCCAATTTGGGGTTTTGTCTGATATGTAAGTAATTTTATTTGGCAAAATTTTGATTGGTTTCGAAGGATTAATAAATCGATTTGCCTAGTAGATAAATGGAGATAAATTTACTTAAACGGTTGTTTCACCAAATGCCACTGAACACTTTAATAATTTACCAAATGCCATCAAAGTTTTCAAAATTCACCAAATGTCAACGAGTTTTTAAAAAATTTACCGAGTGTCATTAATAACTAACGGCCGTTAACTCCGTTAGGCATTAGGGTTTAATCATGACCCGTGTCATGATATGATTGGTTCAATTTAAAACAAATCTTAAAAAAAAAGAAAAAAATTTAATTTTTTTTTTAAAAAAAAAAATCCTAACCCTAACCCAGCCCCACCACCAACACTGCCGCTGCTGGCAGCCCAACCCCAGCTGTCGGTACTCCCTGCCCCACCTTCACCGTCGAAACCAGTCCAACCACCACCCCTAAAACCAATGACTTAGCGCCTTCTGCTTTTTCCCCTCACGAAAAAACACCCAGCGTTTTCCAACCACCGCGCAAAACCACCCCTCCTATCCTCCACCCTTGAAATAACGAAATCGGCCATAGAAATCGACCATTCTGGATTTTCATGGTTGATTTCGGTCGTTTGAGGGTGAAGGGTTTCCATGGTCGGGTTTTATTCTGGGTTTCCATGGTCGGTTTCGGTGGCTACCGTGATGCGTCGTGTTGGTGCGTCAGGCTGGGGCTGGGGCTGGGGTGGGGGTCGTCGGGCAGGCAGAGTTCTGTGGGTCGTCGTCTGGAGTCGGGCAGGCGAAGTTCTGGGCATTGCGTGAGACGGTTGCGGTGGCTGGGGTGGTTTTCTCGGGAGGAGGAAAGGGGGATTAAGTGGAGTCGACGGTTTTGGTGGGGTCAAGGGGTTCCAAAGGGAGGTTAAGAGGTCAGGGAGGTCAAGATAAATTATTTTATTTTTATTTATCTTTTTTTAAAACAAATAACTTACTAACATGTGTCCACATGTGTCACGATTAAACCTTAATGACTAACGGAGTTAACGGCCGTCAGTCATTAATGGCACTCGGTGAATTTTTTAAAACTCGGTGGCATTTGGTGAATTTTGAAAACCTTGATGTCATTTGGTGAATTATTAAAGTTTTAGTGGCATTTGGTGAAATAGCTGTTTGCTTGCTTAATTTTCTGTAGAATGAAGAAATTTTTAGAGAAATTTTTGAGTGAGATGGAAAGTTATTAGGGTGACATGCGAGTATGTGCTCCAGTATGATGTGGCTAATATGAAGTATTCATGATGGATTGAAAAAGTTTGAATTGGTTTATAGAAGTTTTTAGTTCTATTTGTTTAAGTCTGATGGAGTAGAACAGCTGTAAAATTACTATGCACCTGGGTTCGGCTGATGAAAAGTTAGGCTAGAAAATCAATTGAATGGAGTAGTTTGTGCAGAATTGGTATTAAGCATGGTCTGGTACTTTAGTGTTTGGAGTTGTTTTGGTTTATGGAACAGAATGTTTATGTGCTCTTTATTCAGTTGGTTATTCTTGTTGGTCTATTTATTATTTTCTGTGGCCGTTGTGGATGTTGCCGCCATAACAAAGCGAGCTTAACCATGTACTAGCTAGAATCTCCTTTCTCCGGTGATCTTGATATCGTTGATGCGCCTGTGGTTTGAAATGGGATGATGAAATTCCTATGATTATCCTTGATAATTCTTTGCTGGGTCTTGCTTTATAATGCATTTTTTTTTTTTTTTTTGAGGGAGCTTTATAATGCATTAACCAGTTACACTATGGACTTTTTCTCTGCCACCCCTCCCCCTCCAAATATTTATAAAATTCCTACTTGTTTATTTTAAGACTAATATGATCCAAATTCCTGATAAAATATAAAAATCTTGTTGCAAAACTTTGTTTCAACCTTCCTTTTAGTTTGTTTCCGCTTTAATAAGGCATTGATTTCCGTGTATTCTTTCCTTTTTAATAATGCCATGTCTACAGGTTGCATGAAGCAACCATGCATTTTGGTGAGAGCATAAAAGAAATTATCAACGAGGAATTTGGTGATGGCATGTAAGGATCTAACTCTACTCTTGCTCTTAGTTCATATACTGCATATGTGCTCTATCTCTCTTCTCTTTGATTGCTATATTCGCTCTGTTCAGCTTACCTTATTGTGGAATTTTGAAATGTTCGTGTATAGTTGACGGTTCTATTTTTTCTGTTTCCTTTGGACTTATGCAAATGTGGATTAAAGAAATGCTGACTATCGAATGTTTAATCCCAATTACTGACTAATTTAAGCTCCTCCAAAATAAGAGGGTTAGGAATTAGGATACGAGATAATTGATCCCTTATTGTAATTTTAATCATCATATAGATCGTCTTTCAACTAGCCAATGGTATAACCGTTATAACTTTTGGGCCTTCTTGCAAAACTTTTTTTTTTATAGTCGCTATTCTAGATTAACACAGACTCATTCAGCAGTTCATGTTTACTAATTATTATACAATCAATTGAACTCTTATACATTCTCCATCCACTAGACATGTTAATCTATCAAACCTAATGTTATGTCTGCAATGTACAAATTATTACTCTTGCTCTCAATATGGCTCAGGATATAAGTTGGTCATTTGTTGTTGGCTTGTCTTTGATTTACTCTGTACTTATTTTCCATGCTTGTGTTCCATATTGGAAATATTAAATTTTGTTTGCTTGTTTAGCATGTCAGCCATAGATTTCTATTGCTCGGTCGATAAGGTCAAAGGCGTTGATGGAAAGGACAGGGTTGTGGTTACCTTTGATGGGAAGTATTTGCCATACACTGAGCAGGTCAGTTGGATTTATCATATTCACTTTGTTTACGATTACAAAAAGGTCCATTGAAAGTTTGAAACATTCAAATACCTTTCTTGTTGTAGCCTGATACTAAATTTAGTTTTTTTTTAGATGGAAAGACTAATTATGTACAAATAGGGGGTTTAAATGGTTATAAACTTGCAAATTTGGCCACTGTCATTAGTTTCATACTATTAGAGTAAGCTAATTGGGAAAAAGGTAATGGATTTCTTGGTTGTAATTTGGTGTGGGATCATCCATATGGATGCCTCTAACTCACTATCTTAGGATGTCTAAGATGGTGCTTTACTAGAGCATCACTTTGGATTTGTCGATATTCCTCAGCAATCGTCACCATTAACGCCCGTATTTTTACTTGGTAATGAGTGATAATGCAGTCCTTGAAAGAAATGCTTCTTCGTAGTGGTGTTACCTCTTCTTAGATCTTCACACTGGGATTATGTCGTATTACACTAATTTTTTTGTTGCCATTCCCTGATGCAGAGCATATTATTACCTTACTCCAAACATATTATCTCTATTCCAGTTTGTTTGAATTAGTTTCATTTATATGTTGTTTGACATCTACTCGAAATTAACATGTTTGCATTTTCTCTAACTGCCAGAAGTCTGAGCACATGCTATCAAGACCAAGGAATTGAGGACAATGAAGAATCCTTGTACAAAATTGTTCTGCCCTGTCATTTGATGTAAATGAAGTCATATTCATCAATAACGTTTCAAGTTCTGAGAGTACTCAATTGCTGTACCAAAAACATTGATGTGTTGTATCTACTTAAGTAAGCTGTTTTGTGAAAAATCATTGTGTCAATAATGCTATTGGGAAACACTAATGCAATTAAAATAACTTCTCTTGTTCGTACTAGTTCCTTCCGGTCTTGAAATAAAATTGGTGTGGCAGTGGTTTTGCCCATGTCTTTCTCCCTTTCGAAACAAA